TTGTGTCACAGGTTTTCTTTCCCAGACCAGGCTACGTCAATGGCGTTTGCGAGAGTGGATGGATGTGGGTGTATCAATGCCATTTGCACTGCATGCACACGTCTGCATCTTTTTCATACGCCTACAGCCTACAAAAAACGCTTGAAAATTTTGAATAAATTTAAAGAATACTTTTTAAATGACAAATCGTTACCAAGAGAGTTGTTGTGTGTGTGGAAATTTTAATCTCAATCGAACCTTAGAGTTGGATGAAAAATTTGCTCTGAAAAAATAAATTAATCATGAATGTAGTGGGGCTATGCGTATCCATAGGAGTAATCAAAGAAATTTTTTTGCGTAAAAAATTCTCACAGATTGAAATATTAACAGGAGCAAAGGTACAAGGAACAACAGCAAAAACATTAACTGAGCCGAAATAACTACTGAATTAACATCGTAATCGCATTATTAATAAATAAAGGCAATACAATCACACTAAAACAACAACAACAACAACAACACCACCACCACCAACAAAAATAACAGCTCAAAAATGTACATGGAAACATTACAAACGCCACTATGGCCTCTTACCTGCATACTTTATCGTTGCATGCCAGAAGTGTTTTCGCCACATTTCATAGCATCTTTCAATTGCTTGAATGATGGAATGAAAAAAAAAGGAAACTAGACAAAAACAAAAATTAACGCTGCTAAGATGTGGTTTTTGAGAAGAATTATGAAAATTAGCTGGACCTTTCATACCTCCAATGAGGATGTATTTAAACAGTCCGGTTATGAAAAGAGGAAATCACTACAGATAATCCGACGTGACAGTTAAAATTTTTTGGCCACATAATGCAGAAGGAAAAAATGTCAAATATAACAACTACTGGAAAGATTGCAGAGAAAAGAGATCGCGGTCAACAACGAACAACATTCGTGAAGTCCTTGTGTCACTTGTTGATTATCACTACATTTCAACTACAACAAAGTCGATGGTCGCCAATGTCCTGAATGGATGAGGCACGAGAACGAAAGAAAAGACAAAATCTAATAAATGATCGACCAAACAAATGAATGATCGACCAAACAAATAAACGAATCATTGATATGAAAGTTAGATGATTGGTTAAAAAGATGAAGTTGACTGATCGAACAAATGAATCATTTCAATGAAACTGCTACTAGAGGAATATTTTTGCGCCACACTCAAATTTTTCCGTGTGTAATAGAGAAGAATGAAGTAAAAATTATGTTTTATCACTTTAAAGAACGTGTAAAAAATAATAAAAGAACTAATCGGTCCCAAATTGCCACCAGCTTTTTGGCGAAATGAAGTTAAGGTGGTGTGGGAAATGGAGATAGTCATGTGAATAAGTCATCAGTATTTTTTACGCGCTGTCATGCTTAAAGCTGTATATGATAGGGCCTTGTGCGGCCAGTTATGATGTTGATCTGTTTATATACTTTATGTTTGTTATGTTGGTTGTTGTGTTATTGATGCAGAATTTTGTAGTAGTAATGGTGGTAGTATTAGCAGTATTAGTAATAGTAGTAGTAGTATTAGTAGTATTAGTAGTAGTAGTATTAGTAGTAGTAGTAATAGTAGTAGTAGTAATCGTAGTAGTAATAGTAGTAGTAGTAGTAGTAGTAGTAGTAGTAGTAGTAGTAGTAGTAGTAGTAGTAGTAGTAGTAGTAGTAGTAGTAGTAGTAGTAGTAGCTGTCGTTGTTAATGTTGTTTTGCTGTTATGGGAGGGTTGTATTTTTTACAGCGTTTTGTTCAACTAACATGCAGTTTTTTCTTTAAAAACGCAGTTGTTTTTTAACAAACTGAAAAGTACTTTGGCAAGTTTTATAGATAGTTCAAATTTCAGTTTGCACTTCGTATTAATTTTTCCGAACGACTTTTGAAAAATGAAACGAATGTTGAAGTCCTTTGAAACAACTGTCTCTGTGATAGTAACATTTTAAATGAAATATTTAATAATTTAAAACAACAGCAACAACAAAAACAACAACAACGACCAAAACAAACATTCAATTGCAGAGCCTGACAGATATGGCGCAAGAAACATTTGCCAACTACACTTACGACCAAAACATCCAGGTAGTTATTGTTATTGTTTTTGTTTTACTATATACAAATGCATAATAAATATGTACACACACCACACACAGACACACACACACACAAACGTACATGTATACATTTATTATGTATATATGTATGTACACATGTATGTTTGTACCAACGTTTGTGTGTAGTACATGAGCAAAATGATGTGAAGCGTACAGAATTATGTATGCATGCTTGGATCATCTGATGAAAGTAACCATCTTCTTAATTCTATCTCAATTTTAATTCGGTTATTGGTAAGGGTATGTTATAAAAAGGTGCTCTGTATCTTTAATCGGAGAAGTGGAAAGTACACAAACGTTTAAATGTAACTTTAGCATGTAAGCAGTTTTGTGTACGTCAGAGCTACGTAATAAATAAAATAATAATAACGATAATAACGATGATTAAGATTATGGAGAAAAGGATGAGAATATTAATAATAATAATCATAATAATGATGATGATGATGATAACAGTGAAGATGATAGTGATGAAGATGACGAAGATGATTACAAAAATGATGATGACGATTTGGACTAGCGAGGACAATGATTTAAATTCACTTTCATTGATCAGAAATTGGAAGTTTTTTTTAGCGAAAAAACTGAAATAAAGTAAAAAATGAAAAATAGATTAACCTCCATTGTGTGTCGTTTTGATAACAACAACAACAATTTAAACATTTGATTGATTGTTTGTGCTAATGTGTTTTGTTGTTGTGGGTTGTTGTTGCTATTGTTTGACTTATTGTTGTTGTCGGAACAACAACAACAACAACAACAACAACAACAACAACAACACAACAACAACAACATACCGAGTAAGATGAATAGAATGAACTAGACGGAAGAATTCCTACCATATACTCACATGATGTTTCGCTTTGAACTGCTCAGATGGATGCACGATTTATGGAAGGAGTATAAAGTTGCCGGATAGAAAAAAGACATCAGTAATAAATTTAATTCAACGGCAATAATGACATCAACAATAGCAGCAATAACATTAACAGCAAAAAACAAACATAAAAATTGTCGTCACAGTAATTTTTCTTATTACATAAATTATTTTCTATTGTACCGGCAACAAACATCTACAGCATATAAGACAACAAGCAAATCTAATCGATACATGTTTTTCTGTTAGATAGGTAGGATGTCTTTGTATTCGAACCCAGCCACTGCAAGACCACACCGACACCGACGCCATTAACCATGCACCTTCGTAATCTTACCAACAACACGTTAGCAAGGCATATTGCTACAAAATCAACAACATCACTAGCATAAAACCAACCAAAATCCAGGTCATGATCGTTCAGTGCAAAATTTATTCATCGTCATCATTATCGTCATAATAACAATCGTCCTAATTATCGCTACAATCGTAATTGTCTTGTCGGCCTCATCATCATCATCATCGTCATCATCATCATCATTGTCGTCCGTCATCATCATCGTCGTCGTCATCATCATTATCTATACCATCATCCTAATCCTCACCACCATCTTTCTAACTATTCAAATCATAATTTGCATAATCCATCAAAGTTATCATCTTGATCATGTTCATCATCGCTTACATCATGAGGTCGAACATCATTCACGACCAACCATTGATGTCACATAAACTGCATTGGCATCATCATCCGTAGTCATGTCATCAATCATTACTAAATCATCTTTTCCATCATCATCTTCATCATCATCCTCTTCCACGAAATCAACTTTCATTCACTGAAATCTAACATGAAAGAGATTTGCCAGCATCTGAATATCTCATTACACGTACTCCAAATGAAGAAAAAGTATTATAATGACAAAAGAAAGAATAAGCGCAAACGAAACATTAAAATGAGTAATAACTTATATCAAAATGTGCAATATACATATAGGAAATGATGCAGTAAGGACACAAATTTATGCGCTGAACCAATCCGATCTTATTTGCTAACAATTATGCGATATGTGGATCGCATAATTTGCTGGATGATACTAAAATAAAAAATAAACCAAAAAAAACCACATTATCAGAAAGCACGGATTATATACGAAACAGAAAACACAATACAAAATTTTTTATGTCCTAGCAAATAACGTGAATTGATTTATAACGCACTGCAAATGTTTGATCAATTAATGTGCTGACTGCAAAATGAAACACGCCATTACAGCTTCTGTTAGCTTGCCCGATAATTTCGCAAAACTCAGCCTAGCATCACTTTGTATCTGTATCATTTTGTGGTTTATATCCTTTTTAAAAGAAAAAAAACATGCAGATGACACATATAGAAATGATACAAACACACACACCCACACACACACACATACATGTAGATACTCAAATGAATGTACGTACACAGAGCAATACGCACATAAACATCAGCGCTCATTAATTGGAAAGTGGGTTTAAAAAGTGAGAGTGCCTGTCAGCTGCATGCCGACCTGCATCCAGTATATATACGTGTCAGGTCAAACTTACATGTATATACATATATGCATATATATATATACATATATATGTGCATATACGTATGTATGTAGATAGGTCATCTTCATAGAAAATTGCACTTACGTTAAGTTGGAAAAGTGATGCAGTGTTTGGATTTATGCATATGCGTGTTTTGTTTTTGGCTAGCCTGAGATATGAATAACATGAAAAATTATTTAAAAAAATAATAAATTATAAAAAGCAGATTTAAGCGTAATGATGCACAGCAATGTGAAACAACACGTACGTACACACACGATCTAAACTCACATAAACATAACACAGACAAAATAGCACACATTTACGAATTAACATTCACACAACACAAACACAGTTCGACTATCCGAAAGCCAAAAAACTTGACGACAGTTTCGAACTGGTTGAGGAACCGTTCTTCCCAGACGATCTCGTCAACCTGACGCAGAGCACTGTTCACGTGCCCACCAACGTCTACGATGAATGTTGGTTTTTTTGTGTGTGATTTTACGCGAGGCTCTCTTCTATTTCACTTACTTTCTCTTTTCATACTCTCTCTCTCTCCCTCCCTCCCTCTCTCTCTCTCTCTCTCTCTCTCTCTCTCTCTCTCTCTCTCTAGCTTTGTGAATATTTATATATGTTTATTTTTATGAAGTTGCGTTTGCGTGTAAGATTCTGGGAGTGTTGAAGTTTTTTCACAGACGTACACATTTTATCATACGTTGATTTTCATCAATTAATTTATTGATCTCTGTAGACGAATATTTCAACCGGAACAACCAAAGTTGTGTAGGCATTTTCACGGAAACATGAACGTTTAAAAATAAAAACCTGCTTAGGAGGAAAATATAAATTAATACCACGAGCATGACTTGCTGCACACACCACACACGGGCGCACTTACCACACTCACACGTACCACTCACTCACACATACACATACAACACACACGCGCATATCACACACATACAACACACACGTGCACAAACTTATTTAGCAGCATTCATATTTTTAATTATTCATTGTTTCATTTTTCACGTTGTTGTATAGTAGCATATTATATATTATATATGAATGCTTAATGAGCCGCTGGTTGGTCGTTTTTGGTCATTCAATGCCAATTTTCAGCTTGGTACCAACGATCACCAAATCACAAGTGACTTCAAATTTTGTGTGGTAAAATCTCACATCAAATAATTAAAAAAACTTTTTCAGTACGAGTAAGCTGTGCAATGAAATTTCACGAGTGTACTTTATATTTTGAAAAATAAAAGAATACGTAATTCGTTGGCATTTTGTATTTGTGATGACTATGAAACAGGATGTTGAAAAAAGTAAACAAACTGGAAGGTACGTCAGAAGAATTGTTGTTGACTCATCAAAGAATGCAAATATGACGTTTAATCTCATTTCCTATTCATTTCAATTTTCAATTAACACAAAATTATTCATGGAATACCATTCAAAGATATTTTATTGATTGATGATAAATATTTTTGGAAAAACATTTTTGAAGAGTTTTCGACTGAATTATACTATTTCACCTAATTAATAAAAATTATTTTAAAAAATGACTGTTCGGCATTGTAAGCAAATAAATTGTAGATAGGTGTATAACGTAAAAAAATGGTTCAGCACTTGATAAAAAAAATATTTTAAACGTTAGAAAAACAAACGGATTGCTTAGCAAGCTTCTACAGAATCTGCAAAATATTATCAAATACGTACCTACTTACGTGGTGGATTCAAACTAGACTGGTATGATGAACAAATTTATAAACAATCCAAATATGTGCAAAATATTGTGCATGCATTGATTTCTTCTGGAATGTAATGTGGACTTTAATTAGATCTGACCTGTTAAAAGAGTTAAAACTCGAAATTTGGTTATCAACATTTGAGTGAAATTGTAAACAAATATCACACAATCGAAACAGTTTCAGAAAAAGCAAACGTAAAAATTACCAAAAAATGCTATAAGACAAACAAACAATCAACGAAAAACCCATAGACAAACGCATTGCAGACATACACAGCTATTTCACATGCAGTTAGAGATGCAAGTAGAAACTGAAACGATGGCGTCATGCGAATGCAAGCGGTGGAATTATTTTGTGAGCCAATGTTAATGAGGTAATGCATGTTAAGTTTGCTACCGTGCTTAAAAGTTTTATTTCAAAAGTTTAAAAAATACAAAAAACATTTTTATGAAAAACTGTAGTTGCACGTTTATAATTTTATCATTTTATAGACAATTTTTTAATCCACTATTACTAAAAAGTATGAACATTTTCAAACAATTTTAAAAAGACATCACTTCAACATATTCCATTAGACATCCTAACCATTCTTTCTTACCAACATTGCAATCTTCAGAGTTACCATATTCACAAACATCACAATCAGCATCATCATTTTCAGGATGATCACCATCATCACCATCACGTTGTGATGGACATTATTATCATCATCGTCTTCATTTCGTAAAGCACATCCTCATCATCATCCTCATCACCACCACCACCACACCTCATTGCGTCCTTTGCAGCTGCTTCCGTTTTGAATGGCGTGGCCTTCAGTGAAGCGCTAGATGATGTCTTCAATTCCAATCGTAAGAGTTTCTCCACGATCAGCTGGCAGTTCTATTGCAGTTTTGTTGGGTTTTTTCGCATCTATCCAGGTTTTTATTTCAATGTTTCGTTTTTGTCAAATTGATTAATTAAACAATCAACAAAAAACCCATAGATGGTTCGAGAATGTCTATACGTTTATTTACCAGCGTACATTTCAATATATTTTTACTATTAAAATGACGTCATTTCCGCCAACGATTTCGCAACAGAGTGTCAATCCAATTTTAATAATTCTTTTGTCGTTGTTTAGAGAAATTATCATTTTATTAAACCAAACAACAGAAATTGTTACGCTTATGATTTAAAAAGTTATCAACAAAAAAATGTATAGCTGGTTATAAATGTTATGTTATGTTATAATGTTATGTTATAATTTCAATGTTGAACGCGTGCATTCCAACCAGCTATACATTTTTTTGTTGATAACTTTTTAAATCAATTTTCTGTTGTTGGGTTTAATAAAACCTTGACAACAATGAAATTATAGTTTGAATGAACAACTGAAAATATATACAAGAAAACGTTGTCGGCAATGCGGCCCTCATAGTGAAAAGTTTGCCCACCTCTGTCTTACGTCCATACACTTGTCATTGACAATGAGGATGGGTTGATCGTACAAATAAATAAATAAATAATGGGTTTTAATAATAGTACATTTAATAATATTACATTTGATTTAATAATTTTATTCTATTTTATTTTTAAAAACATTTTATCACAATTAATTCTCATTATTTGATTTTGGCTTTCGAAAAATAATAGAGTTTTCATTATTATTAGAATTTTAATTAATTTAATTGACCAACTAACTAATTGAACGTAGGCATCTCATGGGGGAACAGTGACGAAGCCGACCAATTCGACTGTAGGACCAGATTATGGTCATTTCAGTTTTAAACCTTTTCAAATTATTTCCATTTCTTACAAAAATCTTATTTGATATAACCTTCAAATCCCATTTTAAATTTATTCCACTTTAAAAAAAATGTATTTGATAATGTCTTAATATTACGGAGATTATTTAAAAAGTAATAACACGCCGACGGCTCGCTAGGTATATTCAAGCTGCTACGTCGTCGAAAGACGTCATCATCCTGGTGGACACGAGTGGGAGCATGACAGGACTTCGGATTGAGATAGCCAAATCAACCGTCATCAAAATTCTGGATACTTTCAATGAGGATGACTACTTCAACGTCATCAGTGTTTGTCATTGTTTTTAAGATTGCTTATTTTTCTACGTAATAAACTTTTTTCTGAATATATAACTAAATGTTTTTATTATAAAATTAAAAATGGAAAAATTTAAAATGAATGTCTAACCAAAGTTTTTAGTGTAGATGTTGTAATTGCTATTAATTAAAAAAAAACAAATGAAGTAGACACCAACAAATTAAGTGAGATAACGAAATTGATTGTATTATGTTGTTGCTGCTGAGTTAGCGCGTGTGCGTGTGTGTGTGCGTGCGTGTGTTTATTTCCACGTGTCAACCAGTAATTTGATAACAAAAATGGGATGGTTTTCTTATTCAAGTGGAAATAAAATATTATCCTGTTAATTTATATTTGTAATGGGGTGGCATTTTTCCGACGAGAGAGCCTTGCCTAGTCATTTTAAATTTAAAATTTGATTTTTTTGTTTTAGACTTTTTTTAACAATTTGTTAAACAATCACAATATTTATATAAAAAAATAATTTCTTGAAGTTTTCAGATGAGCCGGATTATTTCGAACCCTGTTATAACAATTCTCTGGTTCAAGCTACGGTTCGTAATAAGCAGGTACTTATCTGAGACATTCTTCACACACTTCCTTAAATAAACTTTGAATTTGAACATTTTCCCATATGGAATTATTTATATGAAACAAAATTGAAATAATTAATTTTGTAAAAGAAAGTTGTAGACGCTCTGAACAGAGGAGTGAAAACACACAACATCGCAAATTACGAAAAAGCTCTGACGACTGCATTCGAAATTCACGCCAATGTAAGTTGGGAAGAATTATTTCTTAAAATTTTATGAAGTTTTAAAATTTTATAAAAAAGATTGAAAATTTTATAAATAAAATTAGATATTTCATAAAAAAAATTAGAAATTTTAATGAGAAAAGTATTTTCCCGTTATTAAATCCCCACCATTAGCTCAGCGCAAAGTAGCCGGTGCTAATTTTAAGACAGCTATGTTAGTGATTAGGCTTTTTACAGATTTTTACGAAAGTTTTATGTTCATTGTTTACAAGCTATGTTGTTAAGCTTTATAAAATATTCAATATTTATTTAAAAAATAATTTTGTTTACGTTAATAATTTTTTATTTTATCTTGTCACGGCTTTTTGAGAAATTATGTTCATTGTTGAATTCTACTGATTGAAACAACTGTTGAAATTTAATTTTGAAAATTGAAACGCATTAACCAACACAAATGTCTTTCCATAACTAAAAAAAAATAAGTTATCATTATGTTAAATTTAGATTACAATTAATTTTATTTAGAATGAAACGTTATCGTATTAAAAATTGTTTAATAAACGTAACAATAAACTTTAAAAAGAATCTATTACCGCGAGGAAATGAACATTTCCCAAACATCTGTCTGAACGTTTTATTCTGCAGGTTTGTTGAAACATTCGCACAGCAGAACGTAGGAAATTGATTTGCGAAACGATTTGAGACATTTTTGATATTTATTGAATAAGGTATGACAATCATTGACAATCGTTGATGAATGTCTCGCAACATTTTCGCAGCCGTTGCACGAGGCTTCAAAGCATTGCAAGAATAATTGAGTATCAATCATTATCCGCGCCAGTTGTCTACCGCATGCGTAATCTACTTACAGCCGGATGAATGCTTAGGAGGAGTGCATCGCTGATCACGGATACATGAACATTTTCTTTAAAAATATGAAAAATAATTTATTGTTTTAAGAAACGAAATCAATAATAAGTAAAATCATAGTTAAGTAAAACTTCATCTTTTTACAAATTTTATTTGGGCGCGAAGATAGAAATTTATTCAAATCACTTTAGCTGCCAAAACAAAGTTTTCAAGTTTTCATTTTTGTATTTCAAATATTTTTACATCTGACTTTTCAAGTTTTGATGAGTTTTTTTATGTTCTACAACAATTGAAGAATTGAAAGAACATGTCCGAGGAAAACAAACAATCCTTTTTCATTTATCTTCCACTTTGCGTTTATTGAAAATATCATTGAAAAGAAGAAATTTGTATAAAACACTTTTTAGAAAACAGTTTTCTGCATGCAATTATGGCCTGGTTAAGCAGTTAGACTATCAGGTCTAATGCTCTGAAATGACCGGTTTCAAACGCAAAGAGATTCTCATGTTTTAAGCACGTGGCAAACAGACATTGGCACGACAGAATTGAAAGGGAATGAAAATCAACACTCAAATGAAGCACTCAAAATGACAGCGCATCTAATATTGATGTGGATACTGGCTATGCATCATTCAATGAGCTTCCACGCTGAGCGAGCACCCTTCTACTCTTGCAGCAAACAAATGCATCATAAACTGTCTGTTGCAAGTGCAAATGAAACTATCCAGTGTGGAATGATGCGGAATGCATCGGTAGATTGAAAATAATGGCAAACATCGTTTTTTCATTGTTCACCAATTAATATAAATTTTGTTCACGCTATTTTCCCTGTTGCCAAAAAATTTCCAAAACGTTGACTAATTTTTCGCTTTTGACTTCTTACCACATGCAAACCTTCATATTTGGCTGATAGTTAAGTCCATGAAAACTTTTCTATCATTATTTGTTCAACAATGCTCGTTTGATTCTTAGATTCTCTATTAGATAATGTTAGTAGACATTTTCTTGAAAGACTTTAGCTGTAAGTAAATATAATTATATAAAAAAAGTAGGTTTGTCAAAAAAAACTGACAAGCGAACATTAGAAAAATTTAGCAAACGTCCCTTGTCTTCAATTTAGTTGCACAAACTCATCAACCTAACAACACAATTCGACAAAACGCAATGGATTTATTAAACATTTTTTGGCATTAATTTGTTGATATTTTTCAAATTAATTTGATTTTTAAATTTCAAAAACTCAATAATATTAAAAAAACTCCGCGGTATATTTCGCCGTACAAATTGAAACAGAAACAAACACGACCAAAAAAATATATAAGCATTTTTATTTGACGCTAATTAATAATGATCCGACATCTGATGAGAAATTGGAAAATATTCTGCCAAGCGATAAAAATGAGCCCGAAACAAATTTTTGTCCAATACAATACAAATGTTACTTGCGTGGACAAAAAACGTTTTGAATTAGCCTAGTTTGGTGCTGTTAGTAGAAAGCGTAAAGACCTTAGAAAGCCCCCCTTGAAAACGCTACTCAATTTGAAAACTTTGCTGATGTTAAGGAGCAAAATAAAAGTTGTGTTGATATTTAAATCTATTCATGTATTAATACGTACTTGTAATTTCTCAAACAAGTACAAGATAATAAACTACGCATGTGCAATTACAGGCAGAGAAGAACAGTCTGGGATCGAAGTGCAACAAAGTCATCATGTTGATCACTGACGGATCTCCGTCTGACTTCCGCGAAGTTTTCGAAAAGTACAATTTTCCTGATAAAAAGGTTTCGGAAAAAGCATGTTTTGTTTATTTAGTTATTAATCAAATACTTTTTCACAAAATTATTTTTATAAAGTTAATAAATTGCAAGTTTATATTAATTAATTAAATAAATTGTTGTGACGTAAGGTGCGGGTCTTCACGTATTTGATAGGAAGAGAGATTAGAGACACAACTCAATTGAAATGGATGGCATGCAACAACAAAGGCCAGTTAATGTGTAGTTGTCCAACCAATCAGCTAACAAATTACTCACTCATTCAATCTCTATTCACCTAAAATTTTAACTAATGTTCCACTTAATTACCTAATTTATTTTCATTTCTCTCCTAAATAATTGTCCTCCATTTTTCTCAACTTATCTATTTACATGTTTCGTTTTTGCATTTGTGGTAGACCTACTATATTTAAAACTTTATTTTGAAATTGCAATGGGAAAAACTGAAACAGAAAACAAAATATTGCGTGGTTTTTTTTATGGTTTGACTTAATGTATCAACTTGTTCACGTTCATTTTAAACAACTAACTACAACGAATTTGTTTTATCAGTCTTAAATACTTAACTGTGGAAGAAGAATTTCAACATAAATAAATTTGAGAGTTGATAAAATAGAACGAATGCTTTTGAACAAACAGGCTACTTTTCACATATTTCCACACTGGCTGACGTCTATGAACACGTTCAGGTATGGTGAAAGATAAATGAGTGGACTGCATTATTGATTGCATACGTCATTTCTTCATTTTCCATCAGCACTTACTTATTTACAATGTTTTCTCAAGTTTTTCTACCCACTTTTAATATTCGTATTGAGTTTCGCTTGACTTTGATTGATGTCGTCTCGTTTATACATTCGTTGAGTGTGTATGTGCCGTATAATGTCAATATAGATTATTTGATGAATGATACTTGTTCTGACTAATACTTATTCGTTTGTGTTTTATTTAATTAAAAAACTACACTGCTGAACTTAAATAACATAAATAAAATTAGTCATTAAAATTATATTTGGTTGTCGAGTTAGCATTCAACCAACAGGATTACATCCGCGTCTTGAGTCGACCATTGGTCATAGGTCGGTACCCGCAAAAAGTTTGGACCAACATCTACGGAAATGAAAGGGTGAGAAATGGTTTTTCTATTTATTTTTCAACTAAATAAAAAATTATTTAAAATTACAAATCAAAAGTTAATAACTTTATTGGCATGAGAGTTTTGTATTTAACTCCGGCGAAAGTTTATCATAAATATTAATTTTAGGGTTTGTTTAAATTTTACCTGCAACATTTTTTCAATTAAATAAATAAATTAAGAAAAAGTTTATTTTGAAAATAAATTTTTAAAAGACCAATGAGTTAACAACGACTGTTGCAATGCCAGTATACGACATCAAGAATGCTTCGGTCAGTGGGTGGTTTTCGGTAGAATATTTACAAGCTTTCAATATGAAATTATCGTGTTTATAATCATGTTCGTAATCAAATTAATAGTTGCAAAGTAAAATATTTCATCTTATTTCATGAACCTCTCTAAATTTCTATTTCTCAGTACAACGATGGCAATCTGCTGGGCGTCATTGGAACAGACATGCTCCTCGACGTCCTAACAAATGTCCTGCCTAAGCATCAAGTTTGTTTTCATGCTGTTGTACCTTTGCTTGCATCTCCAAAAAAAATACATACAAACTTCAAAACACGCGAACATACAAACAAACTTTGATACACACGTGTTCACATGTATCTAACATATAGCTTGGAGTGCAAAATTACCCGTTCGCAATAACGAACAATGGATTCATCATCTTCCATCCTGATCACAGACCTTATGTTAGCTTTTAATTATTCCATTTTTAAATTAAACTAACGAATGCCATTTCATTTTTCTTATTATTTTTATAACGAGAGGCAGGGCTGGCCTTAGGTAGTAGAAGGCCCTAGGCAAAGAAAATTTGGTGGTCCTAAGTGACATTTTTTTAAAAATGTGCACAAGAAAATTTTACACATTTAAAAAAATTTCAACCTGAATACGTTTGTTTTATGGTAAGTTCTTGCTACATAATACTGGGATTAGTAAAAAATAAACAGTTAGGTATATAAAATTAATTCATCGTAGGATTTCTAAAAAAAGTTGTTTTAATCTGTATTGCGAAGTCCCTAAAAATCTGAGGACCTGTATTTTCAGTGTTATTATATATGTTGCAAGACATACACTTGGTAATTGTTGGCAACAAGTTTTTTCCAAATAATCAAAAGTAAGAATAATCGTTCCATAATTAAAATTAAAAAATATTTTTTTACCAGCACAATGGCAAATTGAAACCAAATTACAACAACTTGGATATTTCTGAAGTCGAATTCATTGATGACGGGAAGGTATTTACTTAATTTTTTCCCACTTTTATTTTAATATATTAAAATTATTTCTCAAAGTTTCAATTTTTATTCTTATTTGTTTCTTTTACTACAGGCGTTATCATTTTTTTGTGTGGATTTTTAACTTTTTGAGACATTACTTCGTTAATTTTTAGGAAAATTATTATTACTCTTCTGTGAACAATTGTTTTTTTTGATTTATTTAAAAACCTTTGACAACTAAAAAGGTCATCTAAAAAATCATTTACTTACCCGCACGCAGTTAGAATTCGACTCAAGAGAAAAATTTTTGCTACCCGTAAGTCAGTTTTTCATTATTTAATCATTTATCTATGATAGTTATTTAACTATTTTAATTTATTATTATCAAAGAATCGTTAAGAATTTTTTAGCTAAACTATCACAGAATCTTTCCCAATTATAACATTATCCGTACGTTTTGCAACTGATTGTGCTAATCCTCGCAAATTTATGTTAATTCGAGATGAGGCAATATTCATTTAGTAGCGCTTATTTTTATCGTTGCTCTCTTGGCTATTGTTATCATTATTATTATTATTATCATTATTATTATTATTATTATATTTATTATTATTATTATATTTATTACTTTTATCATTGCTCTCTTGGCTATTGTTTTTCTTGGCTATTGTTATCATTATTATTATTATTTTATTATTATTATTATTATTATTATTATTATTATCATTATTATTATTATTATTATATTTATTATTATCATTATTATATTTATTATTATTATTATTATTATTATTATTATTATTATTATTATTATTATTACTATTATTATTATTATTATTATTATTATTATTATTATTATTATTATTATTATTATTGCCGTCATCGTCTTCATCGTCATCACTAGATTAGGCAGAGCATGGTTAAAGGAGAAACAGGGAAAACGAGATTAAGAGTGAAAGTGGCCCTTGATGAAATGGTAACTCATGAATGAATGCGTGAGTGAGTGAGTGAGTGAGTGAGTGAGTGAGTGAATGAGTGAGTTAGTGATTGAGTGAGTGAGTGAATGAGTGAGTGAGTGTGTGAGTGAGTGAGTGAGTAAACAATAAAATTTTAAAGAATAGTAATAGTCCCATCTAAAATTCGATACGAACAGAGAAGAGTTGCCATTCGTGACACGTCATATTACTACCAATCAGTTAACTATACGCCATTCAGGTTAGCTGATCCTATCATCAACGCTTTTAAAATTTCACGAGAATATTATCATATATAAACACATGTTTATACGATGATAATGCTGAAAATGCTTAAATTGGTAAATGATAACTCGTAAATTCTTCCAAATAAATGACAATTGTTTCTTTCCATATCTCATGTAAAGTTTAGGCCTGGCTGTTCCGGATGGTCGAGCTCAAAATTACTTGGACGGAAGGCATACTGTTGATACTGGCGGTACTCTACAAAATTTACTAATTAATTTTTTACTTTTTCAATTATTTTGTGATCTATTTTTTTTTAATTTTTATAATTTTAAGTGTTTAATGAACGTTTAAGTGAATATGGATGTGATTAGATGATTGTCAGTTGATAGTTGTACACCTTTTTTTTTTACAGATATTGAGAACTTTAAAAATTCGACATTCACTTTTGCTCCTTGGTATATTTACATGCTAACATTTATTAAAATTTTTATAACTTTTTTTTACACTGGTTTATTATATTCATTACAGTCTTCATTTTTTTAATTGAAGGCACTTCTATAATATTAAAATTAACATAAGTATTTTTACTTCATCATTAAAAATTTTTCAATTTAAAACTTTCAAATTTGAAAGTCATGTATAAAATACAACTTAGCGTAAATTTTACAGTTTTACCTAATAATTTTTTGCACAACATCGCCAGGCAATACTGCACGCCTAAAGACTCAGAGGATGCCAAACTCAGCCAGTTCGACCTCTTCCTCAAGTACGTAACGATAGCTAAGCAAAACAGTGGCAGTTCCAACGGCAGTTTGTTCTTCAACCAACATTGTAAAAATTATTTATTATTAAATTCAATCTTATCACTCAACTGGAACTTGGGGTGGGTGCAGTAAAAAATTTGGGCTTGTAACAATCAAATTTTACTTTGTAACAAAACTTTGGTGTTATATTTACCAAAAAATGTTTAGTACTTTAGTCTATAATGATTTATAGCAAACCTGTTGATAAACCGGAGATGATCTTTTTTATGACTCTACTGAAAGTGGCGTTGATAACAGACCGTTTGACTTGTAAATGGAAGATCATCAGATGGCCGATGGTCTTGTTTTTAACACGCTTGTCATTGCTGTTTCACGATCTGGATATGCAATAACTCTGATTGGGACAAGGCATCTGAAGCTACTAGGAAAAGTTTGGAAAATTCTAATCGGCTCAGAAAATCGATCATAGATTTTTAGAATCAACTTCTAGAGCTGATTGTTGTAAAAAGAAGAAGTAAAAGACTAAACAAAGTAAAGATGACAAAGGAACATTCTCATCTGTGTTCGCGCGAGTGTAACAGGGAATTACGAAACGTCTGTGGCATGTGATCTAGACCCGCTTGTCCAGCATATTCTAGGAACAGCTAAAAATACTGTGTGAACAGTGTTTGTCCTATTAAAATATATTTTGAAAAAACATTGAACAACATTTTCATACGATTTGTTTTGACATTTCATTATATTGATTCTAGAATTGAAATCACACTTATATCGACTCTGCGAATGTCTCTCTGTACCAACTTAACCCCGATTAGTACATTGTTCAATTGCATATACAATGTTTAATGCATGTTTTACTTGAAAAGGTATATTAACTACATTAAAAAAATTAAATTTGTAAGAATTAATTTATATGGAAAAAATAAATTGTACCGGAACTTAAGTTTTTATCAAGTACCAGTTGAGGTTAATTATTATTTTTTGTTGGCCCTGCTCAGTTTTTAAACATAGGCCTTCTGGACGACCGCTGAAGAGCTGACAGTACATTTAGGATCGTACATTTCTAATACTTCTATTTTAACACTTTAATTTTCAACTTTAGATTTTTTCATTTTTTTTATCTCATTTGAAGTTTCAAGAAATAAAATGTGTTTTCATTATTCGAATTTTTCAAAATTTCGAAGGTTTTCAAAACATGTGTGAGAGCATGCTGTACGACGCCAGCGTCACAAGGAATGCCATCAATTACTGGAAAGGCAAATTTTCATCCCCCAATAGCAAAATGTTGTTACATTTTCAACATTTATTATTTATAATTTATTAATAATAATAATTTAAAATAATAATAATTATTATTATCACAATAGTCAGAACGCAATCGTTGAAAATGTTTTGTTAATCTGATCAGACCAAAGCTTAACACGGCAAGCATAGAAAGATTGCACCAAATATGAGTCGAGACATAAAGGATGATCAAATTTAAATTATTAATAAAAGAACAATTTTTTAAAACATGAGATTTCAGTTTAAAAATTAAACAATGTAAGGTAGAATCGAAAGGCATTAAGTCTTTAACCAAAATTAGCTTTCAAGAAGAGAAATATAATGACTCAACATTAACATTCATTATAAGATGGGTATTCTATTTGAGCTTTCATCAAAAGTACGTTAAATATGACAACGATGAGATTATTTATTGATAAATTTGTTAATTTGAATGTGTTATTTTATTATCAATTTGTTATTAAAAACTCCACAGATGTGCCGACGAAAGGCGCGTTCCAGTTCCAATAATTAAGTGAACCTTTGTGGATGTTTTTATTTCAATTATTGCATGATCACTGCGTTTCATGGAGTATTTCATCATTAATTTTTTTGTCATTGATGAATGTCAATTTTGATTTTTATCATATAGAGGCTAATGCGCTCACAACTTTAACCCAAGACTGAAGTTTTAATTCTAAGCCTCTTGGTTGATTGTCACTAACACATTTAGAAACAGCATTGAGCTAATATTCTACGGAACGAAGGCAGGCCTGACGAGATACTTGAACTTTACAGATGACCTCAGTGAACCGTAAGAAATTTCTTATTGAGTGGACAGTTGGTTGTTTTATTGGATGATTGATTGTTGATTGCATGATTGGTTGCTTCATTGAATGATTGATAATTGTCCTCACTGCCAAAATATTTAATGATTGATCAGCACGTTTAACAAACATTGTTAGTTTTTTCACTTTCAATATTTTATAAATATGTTTAACTATATTTTATGTTGTTGTCATAAATTTTGCTTTCCGTAATAGTGACGCAATGAATATCTTACAGTGGTTTCATAGGCAACAACACGGAAACTAACCGAATGTTGTACTACACACGCGCTGTTGAAAATGAAGAAAAATTCTGGACAATATCTGTGCCTTTCTACAACGGTCAGTTCCATTGGAAGGTCGTAGCCAGGAGGGCTAGAGGGAGCTGCTGTTCCCAGAAACTTTTCAAACTTTTCATAATAAGCAATCAACATTAATTAATAATCACGCAAAAAAAAGATAAAATTTGTATTGTCCAACAAATTTGTAAAATTCTACCCAAAATTTTTATTTACATACTAAAATTCACTAATTGATAAAAAATTAACAAAGCGAACTCAGTTACCGCCTTCAACCATTGGTTAGGATAGGTGAATACTATTTCGTAAGACCTTGTATGCTACTATTCTATAATTTTGCTGAAATTATATTTGTTACAACAACTACGAAGAGTTATTTTAATATATTTGTAGATTTTGCTGTTGTTTTTTATGCACGAACGTAGCCAAAATAGTGGTTTGAATCTCTTACTCTCACAACAAATTTTCGACTACGATACTGTTATATTATTAGTAGGAACTTCTTAAAAACAATAGCTTAATAAAAATAAAAAAAAACAATGGCAGAAAACAAAATATTCAACCCGAACAAAACGGTGGTGACATTTAGTCATCCAATGATCTTCATAATGGTTCAGAGGAACCTCTCAGCTCCGTTTGGTGCGGTGGGCATGCAAATGAAATATTCAGCGTTCCATCAATACTTTGTTATGACAGGACACAACTGCATGGATGGTGCCAAAAAAGTCTGCAACTATTCTTGTGCTGACGATGTTGGTTATGGTTTTCATGTTTTGAAGTGTTTATTTTAAGTTTGGTGTGGTTGTGTCCTGTTAGGGTGTTTCTGTTGCATATAAAAAATGATTGTGCATTTGATGTTTAAACAATTTTGTATTTACTTTTGCAGATGTAAAAAAAAGTTCTTAATTCATATCATTCATTCTTTTTTTAAATGATTAAAAAGAAAAGTTTGAACAAAATAGACACAATAATGTTTTTTAAATATCCGTAAATTTTATTATCCTTTTATATGACTGACCAAATTTTTTCATGGCAAATTTTGACATGAATGCATCACAAACATCTTTTATTATTTATTTTCATTTCTCTTGCGCATTTTTTTCACCCACTTCAGTAGTATAATATTATTGAGTTTTGCATGTCTGCTCATGCCAGCAACTTGACTGTTACATGTTGGATGAACACGGTTATGTTGTTTACTCGGAGACTCCAGCCTTAGTTAGTGCATTTACATTATATTAATTTTCTTACTTTTTTTCTATCGCAACCCTTGTCTATTTATTAAAACATCTTATTATGGTATAATTCTTTCCGATAATCATTTATATATCAATAATTTTATTTTTTCATCAAACTGTTTATAATATAATCTGTTTTTCAAATGTTCATATCTTCAGTTAAAAGCTGTTAAACATGGCATGAAACTGTCAAATTAAATGTAGTTAAAAATTAATCATTGATTGAATATTTATCATTAGTAAATTATAAACTTTTTAGTAATTATTAGCAAACGCACGATTGGCGCGACGATGAATGAATAGTAAGTTATACGCACAAACGATCAATTAATAAAATAGCACCTGGGCAGATTCTTTGGAGAGATAGATGGAATGGTGATGGACAACTTGACAACTGACGAACTGTTTGACAACTCTGCCATCTTCAGAAGGTGAGACGAATTAGCATTCAAAGGAGCAAGCAGACGTTATCTCATTACATTTTTGAATCACTTATACTGTGAATGAAAAATATAACTGCTGCTGCCTTTACTTACTGCTGATTGTGTTTGTTATTTCAGACATGGTCATCACTTTTATTTTCGCATATTAAATTTTTTAATAATAAAATTTCACCGATGATCAGAGTGATGGTGCTTGACTTCCAAGCGATGTGCCAGGCGTCAGATGACGTTGATTCATCCAGTGACGCTCCTTGTATCAATACCTACGCTGTTTGTATAGAAGGCTTTTGGTTTTAATATTTTATAGTTTTGTTTGTGGTTATTTATTGGCTCGATAATTTCAAATTTGCTTGTCCGTTTATTTTTTTTCGATGATTTTTGTTTGACGTTTCATTTGCAATAGTACTAAACGTGTTGTATTATTGATTACGCGCGCACACAAACACACACACACACATGTATTTCAGATGGAGTTATAAAACATTAAACATTTTATGTATTTACCTAAACGACAAGATGTTTGAAAATTATAAACGTTAAATTATTCTTTTCAGCCCATGACTCATTTGTTGAACCTGTTTAAATGGACACTGATCAAGATAATATAGTTTAGTTTAATTTTTTCATTTCAACAATTTTAAACGTTTTAAATATTTTTAAAATTCTAAATATTATCTCATAAGACGATATGATATATATGAAGCGCTGTGACATATTCGTAATAAATATTTCACATGTTTTTGCGTAGTTTTGTGTTGGAGTTCCTCTCATTGTGTTCCTATGCTGACTTAAACGACGGTGGAGCGGGTTGTTTGATTGCTTAACAGTTTTTTATTCAACTAAATTTATATGTTTATAAAATTCTTTTAATTTTTTGATTAAATAAATTTTATGTTAGCTGTAAACTGTATAACAAACAATGTGATGGTGAAACAATTGTAGATTCAAAATATTTTTTCATACTCAGCTCGTAGCCCACCAGCAGAAAAGGCTTCCAGTGATAATGAGACAGTTAACGCTGTGCCAGTTTCAGTTAACTGGAATCTCCTGAACGAAATTGCGGGCAACGACACGTCCTTATTTAACGAATGGGTGAGTAATTACAGAAAGTTGATGCTGCTCGGCAACACGGAAGCCGTTGGGATTTGGTACAACAGCATATTGGAGGCTGCTGAAACATCCCAGTCCAAAGAAAGTTTATGCATAAAGACCAGATATCTTTATGTAGCTCAAAAAGAAGCATTCAAAAATCTTCCTTACCTTAATTTCGTACAGACTGATTGCGAATCATGTCAAGCGTCGTAAGTTATGTTTTTTATCTGTTGCACATTTCACAGTTTTTTAAAGGGGGAAAATTTCTCCTATTCATAATCTTTTTTAAAAACTGATTATTATTATTATTATATATTGATATAGATATAAAATAAGTATCATATTATTACTCATTAATAACATTTTAATTAACATTTTTATATGAATGGGTTGTTATTGTGAATGTTTCTTTTTAATTACGTGAAAGCAATGAAATTTCCAATTTTTGGTTATGTTCGTTAAAATCTTGAAAAGAAATAATTTGATTTGGCTGGCATTGGCTGATCAAATATAAATGGACTTATCATGAAAGAATGCATGGAATGGAAAGCATAAACTTAACACATTCTTAGTCGCAACTTATTTGAATTGTGTGCTGGTCCATATTGTGTCAAATTTGTTTTAGAACCATCTTCCTACATTTGACATTAATTTCCAAACATAAAAATATAGTTAACCTTAATATTTTAACAGTATCATCGATTTATTTTCGTAAATAAATATGATCTATTAAAAATTTGTGAATCAGACGATACTTTAGTTTAAACAAAGTGCCAAACACTAATCTCTTTCTTTTGGTCGTTCAATCTACTTGCCACTGCGATAATGAAAAAAAGTTGACAACGGAGACCAAACAAGTTTACGATATCCTTTATATATTTGAATTTTAGTTTTGGCAAGTTTTTACTTAGATTTTATTATGTTAGTTATTTATGAGCCTTAACTTTTAAACACGAAATTCCAATGGAGAATGTGAGTTTCACCAATTATTTCGCAACAGACGAAAAGATTGCTATTCATATCACGTAGACGTTAGTAAGTTATTTGAAACTTTAAAATATATAAAGTTAACTAGTTAACTTGCTAATCAGATCTGCTCTTTTACTACCTTATTTATCAATGAAGGAATGGCGACCTCAGTGTTATCTATTTTTTACTTTTTTTATATCCTCCGGGCTTAAACACTTGTTCATTCGAACAAACTGCCAAGTCTAAAATAAAATTATAAAGTATCGAAGTCCTCATACCTTGATTATCATTACCGCTAAGTGTAATCTCTATTTCTATTTCATTGACTTGAAAGATAGTGATTATGACAAATTTATAATTAATTTTATAATTTAATTTTACATTTTCATACGAATTATAATTACGCAGGACAATTCAAAGTTGTGTCATGGTCCATACTTGCGTCCTACTTGGAATCTTATTGCGTTATTAGTCCTGATGTGTTATTCCAAACCTTTCATTTGCTATTGAGTTGAAAATTTTGTAGAGACTATTATTTTTGTCTGATTTTCTATTTTCAAACAAAATATGTTTAAATCAAGTGTTGTGTAATAAACAGTTTACGTGCCTATTTATGTTTTATTTTACTGAATATAAATTCTAAAAGTGAATATTGTACGTACGAACAACCCGATCTGGCATTAAGATCAATACACAAAACTAACTGAAATATAGGGCAATGATGAGATGTAGGTATATGAAAACAAGACCGGTGAACAGTATCTACTTTATCGTTCTCAAGTGCGTGTTAAGGTTATAGGCAATGTAAAAATTTAAGCAATGTATTCACATGTGGTTTTTAGAAATTCAAAACATTCGAAAATGACTAAATTAGTTGATATGAATATGAAAAAAATCTTTAAGGGATGCCTAAAAGTCTCGACTTTAAATAAAAATTCTTTATTTTCTCTAAACGAGTGATTAACTTGTTGGTAAAACAACAGTTTTGTAATAATTTTAGGCAAATGAAATGTAGCTTTGTGGAATGAAGCGATGATTGGTTGCGCATTCATTAGGCGTTGCATATTCTATGAGTGTATCCACTGTACATGCAATATATATGGAGTGAAAGGAATAAGTTGTTATATTATCTATGCAGATGTATGGCATACATGGCTGCCACATTCTACGAACGTGAATCCAATCTACGATAGCCAGTCTATATAATAGGTGCTGGCTAGTGCTCATTCTTTGGTGGGGTTGTCCTGAGGCCATTCTTTAATTTTTTAGTCGTAAATTTTTCTTTTAAATTTAATTTTAAGAGATTTTAAGCATATTTTAATTTTGTTTTTATATCCAAACAACAATCACTAATGGCTGCCGAACGTGATGAACTTGTACAAAAAGCCAAATTGGCTGAACAAGCTGAACGATACGAAGACATGGCCGTTGATATGAAAAAAGTTACAGAATTGGGCACAGAGTTAAGTAACGAGGAGAGGAATTTACTTTCAGTAGCTTACAAAAATGTCGTCGGGGCCCGCCGTTCTTCCTGGCGTGTCATATCAAGTATTGAGCAAAAAACTGAGGGCAACGAAAAAAAACTCAACATGGTCAAAGAATACAAAGAAAAAGTTGAAAAAGAACTGAAAAATGTCTGCCGGGAAGTTTTAGTAAGTTGAAATTTAGTTCATCAATTCAATACGTTTCTTAGTAAAATAAATAAAATATTTCCATTCAATTTGCTGACTTGTTTTTTCACTTTAAAAACTCTTTTTTTGGCTGGTTTTGACTGAGAGTTGTTTTTTTTTTAAATTCAAACATGATGGAAAATTTCTGCTTGCTTGTGAAATTAAAGCAATGATTATTAAAGTTTTATAAAACATAAATTTATTTTATACTTATTTTGCATTTATAAATGTTTTTTTTTATGATTTTAGTTTTTAAAATCTTTATTTTATATTTGAATTTTTTTTATTAGAAAGTAAAGTTATTTGTTAATTATTTGAATATAATATTAAATTATTTTTTGTTATCGTAATTTTAAAAGGTTACTCCATTTTCTAATCACCATGTTTTTGATGAAAAATTAGGCATTTAAGTGAAACTATTTGATTAATTCTTTTACATTTTTTAAATTTTATTTTAATTTTATTCACTGTTTAAACTTTAAATTAGCTTTGAAATGCAACATTTGTTAAATATGAAAAACAAAAACGTAAAAGAGATTTTTTATCATTTAATTAGTTTTTTGTTTTCTTAAAATTAACACATGCTTATTTAACTTATTTTTTTTTTATATTTTTTTTTTAAACAGGATTTACTTGATAAATTTCTCATTGCCAAAGCAGCCAATGCAGAGAGCAAAGTTTTTTATTTAAAAATGAAAGGTGATTACTATCGCTACTTAGCAGAAGTCTCAGTCAATGAGGAAAGATCAAGTACTTTGTTTTTATATTTTTTAATTTCTCACTGTCATTATTTGATCTTGTGATTCAATGTTAAAATTGTATATTTTTCATGATCTAAAATTCGAAAGTGTAATTTTATTTAGTTTTGATGATGTTATTGATAATTTCTGATTAATAGGTTATTGAAATTTGTAGGTGTAGTTACGGAATCACAGAATGCCTACCAGGCAGCACTTGACATAGCCAAGGAACAAATGCAGCCAACCCATCCTATCCGTCTTGGACTTGCTCTCAACTACTCTGTCTTCTTCTATGAAATTCTCAACTCTCAAGATAGAGCTTGTCATTTGGCCAAACTTGTAAGTTGCTTTTTAATTCTTTTTGAGGATGTTTTGGTTGTTTATGTTTTTTTCATAAAAACATTTTCATAATTTTCAGATAAATTTTTTTATTATTTTTCCATGAAATGTGCTTCTAATTATTAATTTTTTCCAATATCTGTTTGATATGTTTAAAAAATTTTGACTCATTTTAATTAATATGATACTGTTATAATTTATTGAGGTGAATATTTCAAGTAGATTAAATATTTTTTCAACAGCCACTACCTAATAATACCTGACTAAATGTTAACCTTAATGTTGGTAGGCTTTTGATGAGGCCATTGCAGAGTTGGATACACTGAATGAGGATTCGTACAAGGACAGTACCCTAATCATGCAGTTACTACGAGACAACCTCACTGTAAGTTCTTTCACATTCTTCTCTCTATCTCTTTTCTCTTCCTTTCTGTCTGTTTTCAAATTAAAAAGACAATTTAATGCAATTTCATTAGTGAAAATTTTGGGAATTACTTGACACTTGTGCAAATATCTTTTATAGCAGTTTTTATTGTACCCACTCAACATTTTTTTTAGAAATGAAGAGTTTTATTCATCTTTTTTTTCTTTAAATGATACTTCTGATAAATTTTGAATATTCATTGTATTTTTTTTGGTATCTTATGTGAGAGAGAAAAATAACACAATAAAACTTATTTTTTGAAATTTATTAAATAATAGTAGGTGCAATAATACCTATAATTATAAATATTTACCCAATTAATTAATTAATTAATTGAAATATAATATATACAATATGATATAATTAATTGAAAACTAATATAATTGATTGTTTTTCAGCTGTGGACATCAGATGCTCAAGGTGATGCCGTGGAGGGTGAGGAGACCCAGGGAGTGGCTGAGTAGGGGGGAGGGAACGATGATGGTGGTGACGATGTGGTAATGGTGATGGTGGTTTTGTGACTATGGGAAATTTGATAACAGAGATAATTTAATAGGGGTTGTGGTGACATCTATTGTCGGGAATTAGTGAAATGGTTAACGATGGTGATAGTGAGGATGGCAGTGATGATGGTGATAGTTAAGGTTATGATAGTGGGGGCAATAATGATGGCTATAATGATGAAGTGGTGATGGTTGATTTCGGTGGTGATTAAGATGATTTTGAAGGTTGTGTAATGATTTTCTGGAAGTTGTTTGGTTTTTATGAGTTTTATTACTTTTAAACTAAACGATATGAGTTAGGTGGCGATAATATTATTAATAATAATAATAAATAGTAATAATTAAATATTATATAATGATTATTAATTTTTAAAGTTCATCATACGATTGATTTAATTATTAATTATTTTTCACCTTTTTGTCCATTAATTTATATCTCGTATTGTCTTATCATATTCTTACGTCGAGTCCAATGTTAGTTATTATGATAATAACTGTTTTGTTTATTGCTATTATTATTGTGTCATTATTATTATTGCTATTGTTACACGTTGCCTACATTTACTTAGAGTTCTCATTAATTATATATATGTATATATTATATATATATATGTATATTATATGTTGGTATTTGCTGTTTTATTTTATTTTTACCTACCTTTATTTTATTCTTTATTTATTACATAATGGTATTATTATATTTAATAATTTAATATAGTATATATATATATATATATATATACATATATATATATATATATATATATATATATATATATATTAGTTGATGCATTGAAAATATACGTACACACAGATATATATATATAAGCCAACAGATGTATTGTCATACAGTATTTTCTTCCACACGCATATTTGGTCATTTTATTAATTTTTATTTGCTAAAAATTTAATTAATCAACTTACCTATTTCTATATTTTTTCTTTTATTTGTTTATTTATTAATTAAAAATGGTTATTAAGGTATTAACTCGTGTTATGTCATTATTTTCTACAATGACGCTAAATTACAGGGGTCTCAGTAACAGGCATGGTCGTTTTTATTCATTTACTTTTCAGAATTTAAATAAATTTTATAATTTTCTGTAAATAACTGTATCTGTACTTGAGGCGGTTGGGATCGCTAAAGTTACTTCTAAGGTTACTAAGCTACAACAACAGATGCTCCGAAATTTGTGAATTCGTTTAACTTTTCACTGCAAAAATGCTTTTTCATATTTTATTCTACCATGAATTAAATGACCCGTTTTGGTTTGCCAATTCATTTATATTCTCTATTTATTTATTTCATTCAAACAACCGTTCAATTTTTCTTTCTTTTTTATTCATTCGTTCATTTCATCTGAATGGTCTGCAGCTAAAATCTAAGAATATTAATGTTACCAATCTTGATTCATTTGTTATTATAAGCTAAGCGAGATTTATGTTAAAGAAATATTGTGAATTCAGAAATAACAGAAACGAGTGCTAATGTTTTTTCAAAAACTAATGGTATATTTACTCTTTCAATTTAAATGTATTATAAAGTATTGATGTTAATTTGTTATTATTATTATTGATGTTAATAGAGTTCTCTAATAAAATTCAAGAAGGTCGCTTTTTTCATTCTTTATATCTACAATTCTGTAGTATTCAAATAATTTTAAACAGCCTATCGAAACAAATTTCTTAAGCTATCCGGGCCATCAAATTGCTCTAACTTGCGCTTCAATTTAACATCTGGCTGTTTCATACAGCTAATAAAAAAAATAGATAAGTAATATATTTGGCAAGGTTGTTTATTGCACCTTTGATATGTTATCTAAATTGAATTGGATGATGAATTAGATCTAATGTTGTCATGATGTTGCTGGCCAAAATGAAAAAAAATATAAGTTAAACATCGAATGAATAAGCCGGCAAATGAAACTAATGTTAAAGCTTTTAAAACTCGAATGCAAATTAAACTAAGAAATCAACTTTAAAAATATATTTTAAAAAATCTTTGTTAGCGATTCTACGCGAACCGTTTCGTTGAAAACTCGTCAAAATGTGACATCGGTTCTGCTGACGATGCTTAAGTTCAATTGCTTGTGGTCGTTGTAGGGGCAGCCATTGTGGTTGTTGTAGTAGAAGTCATCAATGATGCTGGTGCAGATTGGTTTCCGCCAGATATACCAAATGTGGTTATGAAAACGTTCATCAACATAACAAAATAAAGCAGGTAGGTTGCCATATGTTGCCAGAACGCCATCTTCCTGAATGTGATCTTTTCTTGCCTGTCTTCACCTTGTTCCTCCAAAAATATTGCATGATGTCGCTGAGCCTCTGCTAATTTTTTCTCTGCTTCCGCTTCTTCTTTCTCTCTCAAACCTGACGCCAACTCATCTTTTGCCCTTGAGAGTTCTGCCTCCATTTCCAGATTTCCTGGTGATTTGGAACATGCCTCTTGCACAATTTTGACGTAGTTTGTAGATCTGATAATTTTTATTTCAGCGTCCGCTATTTGAACTTTCGCCATTTCAATGTTTGCATCCGATCTGTCGAGTCGCAGTGCTTTGTTGTCGAACGCTAATGGCAATCGCGATTCGATGGTTGATAGAACCGGGGAGGTGGCAGCCGGTCGACTGGGACCGCTCAACTCCACGGCTGAAGTTTCTCGAACAGTCTTGTACGAGGATGTGGATTTGCTTGGAAATCGTCGGTACCAATGTCGTGGACAGCAACAACAACAACGACGACTTTTTCCGCTGCCGACTTCTCTTATCGTCGGAGTGTTGGATTGATTATTTGGATCTGATCTGTTGCCAGCACTGTTGACGCAACAGCAGAATGTCTGCTCATTTGACGACTGGTTGTAATAGTGCAGATTGCCGATATAGATGATGATTATGCCGACGAGTAACTCAAACGATATACACGCAATCAACATGGTCAGGACGAAATCGTAGAAACGATGACCGCTCCTTCCGATATCCAGGAGAAGTTTGAGTTCGGTGATTTGGGTCAACGATAGAATGGTCACTAGCGCGGCCTGTGCTTTCATTTCCGACTGCTCCAATTCTCCGTGTCGAGACAAAACCTTCAAGTTATTAATGATTTCAATAATTATTACAAAAGAGTGAAATTTAAGAATGTAAACATTAATGTACTAAACGGGTTTTTTTTTGTTATAATCATCGATATTGAAACCATTTACTACTTTCTATATAAATAAATTATACATATACATATATACATATATATGTATGTATAATATATATAATATTATAATAATAACAACAAAAATATATATAAATTAATGGGATACATGTGCAGCTCGTATCCAATAAAAATATAAGATAAGTATGAAATTGCACACTGTTGTACACTCTCGATGTTACACATATAAGCAGGCAGAGGCACACACACATTCATCTACACATCTACGTACATCGGAGGGGCGTGCATGAATGTGCGCTAAGAACTGTATCGTCGGCGGAAAATCCAATTAAGAAGGAAGTCGTTGATTTATAGATTAGGCAAATTTGTCTTGTTTTGTTGGTCTGGGGCCACTCCTAATGAAATAGCCATTCCTCTCTTGGCTATTTTGTTGATGCTGTGGTTTTGATGGATCGTGATTTTGGGTCGTCGTTATTTTCAGTTGTAGTTTTCAAGTTTTGTTGTTTTGGATTCAAAAGTTTTTTTAATGATTTTATTTATGACGCTGTATTTGAGGATGTCGCCATTTTCATGGCTACTGTTGGGTTTGCTTGCGATGAGTGTGTAGAAATATGATTGATGGTTCATATAAGAGGTATTGGCATCATTTAAGCTAATTTGTTTTACTGCTTTTGAAAAAGATTGTTTTACATCAAACATGCGCGTCTTTCATCTGCTATTTAATAAAAAGTACATATTTTTGCCGTACTGTTGAATGGGTAATCTTTCATGTTTATACGTAGGTTCTTATGTATGTACATGGATTCCATTTTGATGTTTTTTTTCTGTATAACACGGTTTACCTTGTTATTAAAAATGTTTTTGCAATTGTTTAAATAAAAATATTTTGTGAAATTGTATGCGAGGATACATATACATTTTTATTGATTTTTATCTTTTTATTTTTTTAATTTTATTGTTGTTGTGCATATTTTTGATGCTGCTAATAAGTAAATGCCTAGATGGCGATGTTTTTGTCTTTCAATTTGACACGCTCACAAGAATGTGTGTTATTGATGTTGTTGTTGATGATGATGATGATAGATTGTTGCTGGTGCTGTTGAGGGTGTCATAGATTGTTGCTAAAGTTGTTGTTGCTGATGACAGGATGTTGATGTATGCTGGTTGATAAGGTTGTTATATATATCATGAAATTGATATTAATGACGATGAAGGAACGACAGATCGTGCACGATGTTGTAGCTGCTGCTGATGTTAAGGGTGTTGTTGCTGTTGTTGTTGATGTGGCTGTAGTCGATGCTTTGCTGTAAATGTTGTTGCGTGGAATAATTTGATTGTGATGAAACGAGATTTGAGAAGGCAAGTTTATACGCCTGTTTGTCACACATTCGTACAGACACGTATGCACGCACACGCAAACACACACACACACACATATATACAAACACACACAAGCTTGTATGTGTGCGTTTTAATGTATTGACGTAATGGTGCTCATGATCATGATCATAAAACGTGTGAACGTAATACATCTAATGGCTGTGTAGTGTGTATGTTGTTGTAGTTGAATTGGACTGTTCAGTATTGTATGGTTTGCTTTGCTTTAGTTTGTTCAAAAAATATTTCATAAATATGACAGTTGTTTCATTATGTTTGTTACAACGTTAAAATTTGTAAAGACTTTGTTAATGTTTTTATTTTTTATGAAACCAGTAGATCCTGAATGTTAAATAATTCATAAAAGTTATTTAAAAAAATACTAATATAGGTATCGGTATATGTGTACGTGTGCCATGAGTGAATGTTTGTTGTGTGTATATGTGTGCGTGTGTTGTGTGTAGATGTGTGCGTTTGTTGTGAGTGTATGTGTGCGTGTGTATGTGTGTGTAGCAATAGTTGTGTAGGGGCTATAGTACGCGAATGTTTTATTGTTAACACGTGAATTCAAGATGGATGTACGTTGTACGTGAGTCAGAATGTGCCAAGAAAAAATCCGGCTCGTTGTTTTTTCATTGCGTTTTTATGTTTGTTCTTTTTTTTATGTAATTGTGTTTTTATTTGTTTTTCAAATGCCGTTTTTCACTTACGGTTTTTTATTTCCATGTTTTAGATTTCTATTTCGTTTGATTCTCAAATATCTGCTTGGATGGTTTTTATTATTTTTTTCACCATTTTAATATAATCTTTTCACCATTTTAATATAATTTTTTCACCAAAATTTTGAATTGTTTTTTTTTTCACTACAATAATGCAGATAGTTTCTTATTTAAAGGTTTCTAGTTTGTTCGTTACGTTCGTATTATTAGACTGTTTGATATCATGATGTACCTCAATTTTTCTTCATTTTCTTGCAGATTTAGCAGCTGGCGAAAGCCATAAATACAAAATCACCGGTGATAATTTGGTTATATAATTTCGGCTGTCCATAATTAAATGATAACAAAATTGCTATAATAATCTTAAAAAAGTAAAAACAGGTAAAATACTTATGTTACTAGAACGACAAAAAATAATCATAATACTAACAGACGTAATGACAATGGTAAACAATAATAATAAGCCAAACAATAATAATAAGCCAAACAATAATAATAAGCCAAACAATAATAATAAGCCAAACAATAATAATAAGCCAATGACGCGCTTTTGAAAGTGGACGTATGTACGTCGTTCGGATGTTTCAATATTCAATACTTTCAAATGCAACTCGTAAACACATTTAAATAACATTAAAAAACACACAAACATAAAATATACACGCAGTATTTACAAACAAGCAAACAACATAAATAAATATATACAAATATTACATTACATAAATTCAAACGAAACGTACAACCGAACATTTATTCAAGCCTCCATGCCAACAACATATACTTACATACATACAACACATTTAAAACATACAAACATTCACACACGCATACAACACATACATACATAAATACAACACATACATAAATACAACACATACATACATACATACATACATACATACATACATACATACATACATACATACATACATACATACATACATACATACATACATACATACATACATTCTGACAAAATTGACGATGCGGAATTCATTTACGAAATAATGGATTTCTACAATTGTGAAGATATTAGAATAGCAAAAAAAATACTTACCAGCGATCTAGATGCATTAAATCTAGAAAAAGATGATAAAATAAAGCCAAACAGTTCTGGAAACTCTAAAAAGGACAAGGTTAGTGATTTAATACTAACA